TGCTATTTTTTATTTTAATAACGACATTCATTTTGTAGTGCTGATAAAATACAAGTTACATACTGTAAAAGTTCTGGCACGAGTCTCTGTATCTTGTCATGCAAATAAAGTAGACATTTACAGCAAAAGAAAGCAGTAATGCATTACAGAGAATTGCGATTATAGGAATGTAAATGTTTCCATTGCAATAACCTAAGACATAAAAAAAATGATGCGATTGAAATGATGAAAATAGTTTCATACATGCAAAAATAATCTTATTACATAGAAAGTTATTACAAAGATACATGGAAAATAATAACTGCTTGAGTAAAAGGGTTTCAAATAAAACACATCCCTACCTGCCTCAAGTTTCCCAGCATCTGAACGAGAACATAGGTTTGTCAAGAGAGATATATGTATTTTTTATATAAATACTTCTAGAATTAAATTTTTCCTTACCAGAGCTGGTGACATGAGAGCCTAAAAAGAAAACATATTTGCTTCATAAGCAAGTGATTTCTCATACACAAAATGTTTCAGCCCAGTTGTAACAATATTTGTAATATATAATGTATAAATAGTGCCTATATATGCAATATACAGTGCTTATATAATACAAATATTGTATACTGAGCCACTGGTCTCAGAGCCTGAAAGAAAACATATTGGTTTTGCCGAAAAATCTTTCAGTCCAAGTGTAACAATATAATCATTATGTTCTAAATGTATAATATACCCTGAGTAAATCCTTAATTTGTTTTCCTTTTGGTCTAAAGCAGTATAAGATGATACTTACAAACAATGCTCAAAAGTAGAAGAACATAGAAAAGTCTCATATTAAAGATGCGTAGATGTCCAAATGTAAGACAAAACTTAAGCCCCTCCTTTTTCCACTCTAGTTTAGAAGAAAAGTTTTATAGCATCACATATTAGCTGTATCAGAGCAAAATAAACATTTATCGAAATCTAATAATAATAATAATAATAATACTAATAATGCATTTTTTATGACACCAATAACATGATACTGCTCAACGTGCTAAACATCACCTTAAAGCTTTATAAATGAAAGGCATGTTTTTAATGGTCACTTTGTCAAAGTTCATATCAAAACCACAAAAAGGAGGAGTGTTCTCTGTGATGACCTATTGAATCTTAGCATGAGGTGCATTTTATTTTTAGATATACAAAAGCAAGATAGGCATCTGCTGCATGGTTAAAACCATGTAGCACAGCACAAAAAGACCACACACACACACACACACACACACACGCACGCACGCACGCACACACTCACACAAAGAATAAATATAAATAGAAACTATTCAAGACTCAATATAGCTTTTATTGTTTGCTCTAAATAAAAAATGAAATGCTCATTCCTCTGTCTCAGATGTTTTCTGTTTATTCTTATACTATCATTTGTTAGTATGTGTATATTACAAATCAATAATAATTTTAAACAGTATTTTTTTTCTGGTAATTCTGCCTGAAATGCCATTATCACCATTTAAAAAAGTATATGTTTAAGCCAATTCAAAGAAGCACTTGAGACACCATCAGTGCTAGTCTCTCTTTAAATGCAATGGAAAGCATCTTATTAGCACTTTTTAATTTTAGAGTATATAGACAAATTGTTAATGTGTGGTTGTTAAACTGCTGGCAAAGGCAGCATCATTTTACCTACTATATTCAGAAAGCCACAGAAAAAATACCAGCTGTTCCTGTTGCATGCTTTCAAGATGAAAAGCTTGAAAACATGCAAGATATTGATCTATCTCTACAAAAACACACACACACACACACACATACAAACACCAACAAACACACACA